GCAGGGAGGTATTAAAATAACACTGGTTTTGTGTCATTCCCACAGTTGTGTATTGATGGCCTGTAAGTGAAACTCCTGTGGTTAAAGGGGCAGTTCACCCCAAAACCAACATCTCTACGGCTGATATCTCCAAAACTCAGCAACTCCCACCAAAACAATCTAGATGGATAAATAGCACTACAGCTAAGAGGAAAAAATATGTATTCTTGATCTTGGAGTGAACTGTCCCTTTAAGAGCGAGGGCTTGAAGGTGAGCTGAGGTCCTTTTACTGCCAACACCGAGTAAGAAGAGTTGGATCTTCAGCTACAAAAGCTACTCAAGGTAGGGCACATGTGCTTATCCGCTCACAGTTGCCCATTAACTGCAAAATAACACACATTTCATCAAACAACACGTATGGTTTTAAAGTTTAGTAATGCATTCATGGCCATCTCTCCTGGATTATAATGCCACCAATAACTGTGTACAGTGGAACATTGGCAGACCACTCTCCAGGGTCTGTGCACACAGTCACTAAACCCCTGGTCATTCCCCCATGGGTGTGCATTTTCTCTGTGCTGAATTCCTCCATTCCTCCCGTTTGCTGCAGCTGTAGGGAGAAAGGGTGTGTGTGTGTGTGTGTGTGTGTGTGTGTGTGTGTGTGTGTGTGTGTGTGAGTGAGAGAGGCTATAATCTGTGTTTCCAGACCTGAATTATGACTGTAATGTTCTGCTTCAGTGGCAGACGCCAGAGAAAATGCAAGAAAAAGAGAAATGTGATTATGGGAGTGTAAATGTGCCGAGAGAGAGAACGTGAGGGACAGAAACTACAGTGAAAAGGATGTTAACAGATAAAATCAAACCAAATTAACCGGGCAGGTTTTTATCTGGTGACATCAGTGTACACTCGTTTATTTGTGGAATTTCTTAGTCTTTCAGCTAAATTGGCCTTTACATTTTAATGGTATCTTTTCAGGCAGTGGCCTCAAACCCTTTGGCTTATGACCCTTTAAACGGTCAAGTGATTAAAGCATCCAGTATTTCACGATAAAAAGCAAATTGAAAAACATAATAAACATAAATAAATACTTTTCCCCTTATTCACACAGTGACCCCTCAGATTGATGCAGCAACCTGCACTGTAAAAAAAATCTGGTGAGAAAACTCATTATTTAAAGGCAACTTAACTTAAGTTTCTAAGTTTTAAGTCAAACTTTTAGGTTTTGAAGTAAATCTAAAAAAGTTTTGTTGACGTTATTTACATTTCTTCTTTAGAAAAACTTAAATCTTTGAGTTTTAGAAACAAAACATTCTGCATTTCAAAACTTGCAAGTGAACTATGAACCTGATTTTTAATTATTTTGGTGCTTGAAAATTAAATAGTTGCAATTGAAAATATTAAATTATTATATGAGTTTCACTTTATTGAGTTTGCTGAATAATTTTGGCAGCCGTTTGCAGAGAAACAAGAGGAGGAAGAGGCAGAATTTGTGCACACGTGTAACATGAGCACAGCTGTTGAACATTACCGCCGCTGGGTCCCAAGGGTTTCCTAGATGCAGTTACATCAGGAGAACATTCCTCTGGTTTTCCGGCCTATGTAAACTATTAAGAGACTCGTCTGAAACCACCTTTCTGTAAACATTTATTACCTGTTGTCTTTGGGAATCAAACACTCATCTCCCGGAGGAGCTCGTAACTCTGCCGTCTGTGGGTCTGTCTGACCCCAGTAATCCTCCTTTGGTGTTCTTTCAGGTGGTATTTTATTTGGAAGTGCTGCAGTCTTAAATCAGAAGTCTCAGTTATCTTTCTATTCGGTATCTGTTCTATAAGCTCCGGCAGCAGCATCTCACAAACATCACTGCACACATCTAATTCCTCCTCTCTCTGACCTCTGGAGTAATAAAAAAGACCCATGACCTTTGACCTTCCAGATGAACGGGTTTCTCTTCTGGGTGTGGCGACTGCTGACGAAAGAATAGCTACTAAATTTTACAGCTCATAAAACTGACTTGAAACCAGGAGTGGAAGTGTGGCTGGGTTAATCGATCAATAGAAGGAGATCAGATATTTCCGCTGTCCTGTGATAATAAATAGTGATTGGAGACTTTCTTGGCCAGAAAAAGATTTTTGCCTGACACCCCCCCCCAAGAAAAACCATATTGTTAGTGGTTGACATAATCATGGAGCATCATTCAAAGTTGAAAACCAGAGAGAATTTCAGACCTCAAAGTGTTCTTGTGGTTCAGCTCAGGAATGGACAGTTGGTCAGCGAGCGTACTGTAGCTGTTCTTTAACAGCTATGTCTGCTGACGACTCTCACGCTCAAATAACACAAATACTTATAAAACCATCTCTGCACGCACACATTTCATTATTATTTACAACCTGTTTTACTCTAAAATTGATGATTTATAATAAGATCATTATTTATTATTCGCAGTGCATTCTGCCCTGCCGTTGAAATAGTTTCAGGAAACATTTTATTTGTGTTGTGGAGAAGATTGTTACCACTCTCATCTCTGTACACAGCTGGTTAGCTTATCTTAGCACAAAGACTGTACACAAGGGGAAACAGCATCGAACATAGCGCTGAAATAATGGTCCCCTTTCATGATGAAAATGCCTTTGATGCGTGCAAACACATACATGTGCATGAACGTGTGCTACACCTATGGGTCCCGGTTTCAGGGTCTGAAAATATGGTGACCCTAGTCCAGCTGTCTAGCAAGGTTAGCTGGCAGTATAGTGTCCTATTTAGAATACAGACATAACAGAGGTATTGATCTTCTCATCAAGTTTATTTCCCAGAATGTCGATCTATTGGTTTAAATAAAACAAAAACTATTAAAAGTATTGTATTAATGATCATGAAAGAAATCAAGCTTGCATTTGCAACTAAAGAATTCATCTGTTTTTTTTATCACAGATGTTTTGTAATAGCACAGGCTCTGGGGTTCGTTTACATGTGAACACAAATAGTTAAGGGTCACTGTGATAGTCATCCACACATCTTTATGTATAAGTGGCTAAAAAAAATCCAACATCTGTTCTCTTCTTACTTCAGAAAAAGCTCATGGATCTGTCCCTGGTTATCTTCTTTGCTTTGGTAGAACCGCTTTCCCCCTCACCATTATGGCCAATGTGGTGGTTGTGACTGCTGTGTCTCCTCCTCCTGACAACAGTGGTCTGGCTTTCTGTTTCTACTCCACATAAAAAGGGTGAAACATGCAGGCAGCCTGACCCCACATCCTCTTATTTCACTGTGGGTTAGATCCAAAACAATCCCTGTGGCTTTTCAACAGAATTTACAAGGTATTTTTTTCCTTTCTCTCTGTTTTATGGTACTCTCTCTCTCTCTCTCTCTCTCTCTCTCTCTCTCTCTCTCTCTCTCTCTCTCTCCATCTCTTCTGGCCAGCTGGGTCAAAGCTTCCTCTGTGATTGACTGAGCAGGCAGAGGAAATCTAAAAAGGCTGAGACTGCAAAGCCTTCCAGCTGGACGAACGCCTGTTGGCCACCAGCACACTCAGCAGATAAAGAAAATATTTATTGAATCAGGACGTAAGGAGTGAATGTAAAATGATTGATATGCTCATTTCTTTGTTTTTTTTGTTGTACAGACAAGACAACATTGACACTTTACAGACACCATAGAGGGAAGATTTGTTCAGTTTTCTAATGTCACCTAGTGGTAGAGTTAACACAGTGCATCAGATACTGCAGGGATATAAATGACAAACTAAAATCACAGATGCAGTACTGGGATAACTTTACCCAGCAAGCCAACTGTGGGTAGAAAAGTGTTAGTGCTATGTTTTATATTATTGTTGTCTTATTTACTTAAAATAAAATATCTTTTTACTCAAGCTGATTGCTGATTGAAAGGAACTTTTACACATGTGCTGCACTGAGTACAGTTTTGAGGTATTTTCTTTTTTGAGATATTTCTCTTATCTACTTCTTTATCCTTCTACTCCATTACTCAGAGGGAAATATTATAGTTTTTAATCTACTACATTTATTTAATAACTATTGTTACTTTGCAGATGAAAGTCATTAAAATGAGCTCCAGCTTTACCAGCTTAAATATATGAACACCTTCATATATTTTCTGCCATTCTGCACAATGAGTACTTCTACTTTGGTACTTTAGGTATGTTTTCATGCTAGTACTTTTGTACTTTTACTAAAACTTACCACTACACTGTGGTAATAGTACTTTAAATTAAAGTACTTCCTTTGCAGTTTTTAATGTCGCATGGACATTGTTTTGTACAACTAACAATGTATTTGAGACAGTTTTAAGGTTAAACTCAAGCTTTTTTGTGCCTAACAATAGTAAACAACCCAACAGTAAGATAAAAACTAACACTAACACTGGATCAAAGCAATCCATTGTCCTGGGTTTGATTGGCCACCCTTTGGTTTTCAGAGTTAAGTTAACCCCGTCACCCAGTCATTTTGTAAATGTATCCAGTCACTTGTGAATCAGCGAGTACATTAACAGAACTGTGTATAAATACCTAGTATTTTAACTAGAGCTGGACAGATATAAAAGTGCTCTTTTAGAGTTATTCGTAGTTTTGTGTGGCTTGAAACTATTTGGGTATGGTCCATAACAGGTTAAACTCTAAAGTCGAAAGTAGAGATGGAGAAACTCTGATGAAAAGCATCTTGTGTGGCTTCTTACTGACATGGCTTAATATTGTAAATTCTCTCTGAGGTGAACGGATGTTGCTGGTTGTGTCAGAGTTAAATGTCAAACCACACTCTAATACACATGCTCACTCTCTCACACACACACACCACCAGGACCACCTGACAGGACATGTAAACACTACACACACACATATACGCTCACACACACATACACACGTGTGCACACACACACACACACACACACACACACACATATATATTTCACATACACACATACAACTCAGGCTGGCTCTCACACTCTCACTCAGCTCACATGCCCACCCCTCAGCCCTTATTCCACAACGACACAGGAAGTCAAAGGGTGACCCATTTCTATCAGAGGTTTTATTTTGTTTGGTCTCTGCACAGATGTCACTGAGTGCAACGGAAATATACTGCATATGTAGAGACAAGAGCAGCAACGTATCAGCGACCTCAAAGGTTTACATAAATCTAGAAATAGCAATCTGATAAATATTACATTAAATCAGTTATGGTATGAAGACACAATTCTTTCTGGATGAAAGTAAACTTTACCAGGTGCAGTTAAATTGTAGGTTGGATGATCTGTTTCTGATATAATCATTACTGATAACTAAAGGAGGTGTTGCTCTCTTTAATAGCATGAAATCGTTCATAAGATGTACAAACAAATGAGATTGACTAACAAAAACATCAGCGGCAAACCAGCTGCCTTACTTGTGACAGTATCAGTAAAGACTAAAGTCAGCGATGCTTTAATGCTTGAATGTTGCTGCAGGGTTGGTTAGTTTCATACCCTTAAACTTCATCTTAGATTGTGTGAGCGATAACAGACATTATTCACTACACTGTCCTCTCATGATTCGACATGTGAGCCCCACTCACATGCTCTGAATTTATTACTAATTACATAATCAGAGCACATTTAAATCATGTTTCAGTGCTTTCAAAATCACAGATCTGCCTACAGGAATGCAGAATTTGTATTTAGCAAAATTTTCCTTGATAGTATATAATGATAATAGTAGTTCAAAAGAGCTCTCACAACATATGTCTTAAGATTTAGGTTAAAGTAGTAAAAAGCAAACTCCTGTTCTTTTTAAAGACAGTGCCATTGATATATGACAGTAGCATTTAGTTTAAAGTAATGTCTACTTTCATGCTTTGCTTTGCAATGTTTTTCTATATGTACTTCAACATTAACGCAAATAAAGCGCAATGAAAAAAAAATAGATTGTTTAAAGTACTTGTTAGGAGTCACACAGAGTCAGTAATGGGGTACACTATTCTATATACAGTGTGAATCAGCTACATAATGACCCTATAAATGTATAAACAGCATTTTTGAAACTCTCATGAGGACAAATTCTTGCTACATAAACTGATAATAATGATGTATATGTACAATTGATCAAATGACTACCTGTCGCCAGTTTAGACGTAGTAACTCAGAATGATCACCCGACTCTGCAACACTTTACACTTCACATTAAACCCACTGCACAGGAGCTGTCCAGCGCCAATCAGCTGACAAAGTTAGCGATTAGCTGGTCAACCCAGAGGAGCAGCAGCTAAAGAGACAGATATTTCCCTTGGGAGACTATGAATGTTGGACTTACATACATCAAGTGGCCAGAAATAGCTCAGTGTCTGTTGAATGTGTAAACGGGCAACTGTTGGTTAACACATTCACCATAAAAACGTAATAGGCTGATATTATGTTACGCGTGTGTTCAGCTTGTTACTCTTCCCCCAAGTGACCAAAAAGGAGTTAATACAGGTTTAAAGCATAAAAATCCTGGAATCTGTAAAAAAAAAGCACTTGTTTTTCTTAATCAGAACTGAACAAGAACTCAATATATTCTGTTGGAGATGCTCGCATCCACGATCTCATTGACATAAACAATCAGTAAGGTTGCTTATGATGTAAACACATTGGATTTAAAATGATGAATGTATTCCAGATACATTACAAGTTTTCAGATGGATTTATTACTGAATGTCGTCTGTAGCTCTTTCAGGGTCAGATACCCTGTTTTACCGGGCTCCACAGGCATGGAGGAGGACCTGCACATGGCACCGGCCAAAGGCCAGGCCGCATAGCTCTCACCAGCAGCTGCCACAGATGCATCTACTGGCTGGCTGTCAGAGGATACCTGAGTTAGACTGGGGGTGTAAGGAGGGGGCGAAGGAGAGGAGGGTGGGGGCATCCGGGAAGGAAGATGGAGAGGGAGGATGAAAAGAGGAGAGCTTTCGTTTGAAACCTCTTCCCCTTCAACATCCACGGCGCTTTTGTCTTCACTATCGTCTTCATCTTCCTTTCCGATGCCAAAGCCAGAGTCGGGGCTCTGCGGCTCCCTCTTCAAGCTCTCATAGGTTGCAGAGGAGGTTAACATGGGGCAGAGGGAGAGGTGAAGGTTGCGGCTGTTATGCAGATTGTGGAAATCGTCCTGATAGGTGAAGTAGGCAGGATTGGGGTCGGTTCGAGCTGAGCTGCTGGAGGAGCTGGACATGAAGTAGCCCATGTTAGAGAAGCAGGATGAAGAGGACGAGGAGGAATTGTCAACGACCCCGCTGGTGTCTGAGCCCGCCGAGGGGTAGCTCTTGAAGTGACGCACGGCGCTGGTGAAGGCGGCGCTGGACATGACTACGTCAGAACTTTCACACAACTCAACGGGAGAGATTTGGTCGCATTGCTGGACTCTGAAGAATGATTCAGGAGCTGACAGAGGATTCAGCCATTTCTAGGGGAAAAGAAAGAGAGAGATTTAGAGTAAAAAAACACACTTCAAGAAGGATGTGTGTTTCTAAAGTTTGTATTCATGACAGCGAATGTTTGTCTCTGATTTCTCAGAAAGTGCTATAAATGTGAGTGTGTGTATGTGAGCTTGTTTATTGATGAGGGTTGGAATACAAGCAACAGATAAACCACACCAAGAGTCAAGTTCTTCTGTGGTTTAAAATTTGTTTTTTACTAATCTGGGACAGACTGTGGCTGTACCTGTCATTTTTACGGGTAACCAGTGGTGAGTGGGGAGTGATGCTCCCTCACTTCTTATTAACCTAAACCAAAACTGCAAACTGAAAATAGGCAAGGAGGTCATGCAACTACTGAGCGGCCCATAACAGCAAAAGGCTCATTTAGTATTCAACCTTCCTGCTTGTTTGGCTGAGTAGGCTTGTCAGGGAGTTATACCCATTAGAAGACAATAGCATTAGTACAATTAGTACATTGTTGTAATGTGCAACTCACAAAAGACATACAACTCTACATCTAAATCCCACAATTCCCACAATGCAACCATTAACATTATTTTCCTTATTGTCCTCTTGCCTGCAAACAGGCTTTCTGTTGTAATAAACAAATAGTCTACGAACCCAAGCCAATATATCCCTGACAAAGCCCCAGAAGATAATATACAATTGTTTTCACAGGCTGAGTAGTATTCCTCAAGACTTGTAAAGAGTCCCCTTTAACCCTCATCATACCAACATATTCAATATACAAGGATTACCGGCTGGGGCCCCCCAAGAATGAACTACTGTAAGAAACACCCACCCTACTTCTCAAAACATTATTAGCCTTGTAATTAAAGTAATCTAGCAAGAAACACAGGTATGTTTTATTATTAGTTTAGGATAGTTACAGTTAATTTGCTCATTATGTAAAATGAAAATAGAAAGCACAAATAAAAAAAGAGAAAACAATGATAGGAAATCATTAAGAACACACTGACTGATAAAGTCCTGTGAAAAACTGGAATGTTAGAATAAAGCACCTGTGAGATATGATAACAAGCACACCTCAGGGGTCTATGGGTACGGTCGGTAGGTACCCAGTCGGTAGGTGGGGGATAAACATTGCGAGGTAAAAACACAAAACAAAGCAAGACTGGATTTGTGATGAATATTGTGATGAATATTAAGGGTTTTTATGTTATAATTAGAAAACAAAAACAGCCTATTTAATAGATTTGGTGAATACTTTTATGCCTTTTTTGAGGCTGTGAATCTTTCAGGAGTTGCTAACAGCAGCAACATTTTATGATTTTAGCCCAACATTGGTCCTTGTGATGACCAATTGTTTCTGGAACAAAAACACATTAATACGTTAATGTACAGCAGGCTAGAAAGCCATCAACACTATGTTATATCACAGCTTCTGATCTGGCTGTAGGGCTGTTAGAAACACAATCACCGACAAAGGAAACATAATATAAAATCTTTTACTCTTCTGAGTCAGTTACTAGTAACTGAATACAGGTTACTCACTGATGTTTGTCCATCTACTGCAGTAGACCAACAGCAAGAGGCCAAAGTGAACAGATCATCATACTTGAATGTTATTTGTGTATGAACATGTTTTTGTGGTAACACCTGCATTCTCTAATGCGCGTCAAAATGCTCTATGTGGTAGGATACAGTGGTAAAAGACTTGGTGAGAACATTTATTTTTACCTTTAGATTTCCTCCGTGGACAGAGTGGAGCGTATGGAAGTATGTTGAAGGGTTTGGTACTGGTTTCCCTCTGTGGAACCTGAAACAGCAAAAAAGAGCCATTGGATTAGACATACTGCATGGAAACACACACACACACACACACACACACACACACACACACACACACACACACACACACACACACACACACCAACATTTTACTCACCTTCTGTTCATGCAGCTCTTGTAAAGGACCAGCATTACAACCAGGATGAGACCTGAGATGAAAATCACTCCCCACCTTATCAGGGATGTCTGATCCAGAAACCAATCTGAAACAGAGAGCCGACATTATAGTATGTATAAGTCAAACGAACATTCAGTATTTTTTGTTTTCCTTCTGATCATAATTAAAATCAGGTTTATGTATGTGTACACAATCACCTCATCGTCTCACTGTTACAACTAGTCCTGTTGATATTCACATAAAAAGCCTGTGAACCGTTTTAATTGCCACTTAAACAACCTGGAAATGAAAAGTGTTGTTACCTTGATCCTGTAATGTTCCCACCATGTCTGTTGCTCCTACCCAGGATGTTGCTGGACTCCAGTTGCTCCAGTGGCTGCTGGTTTGCTTGCCAGTGGGGCGCACTCTCACCCTGACCTGGCAGTGCCCCTTTAGTTGCCAAGAAGGCTTTTTTAGCTTAAGATCTTGTGTGGTCCAAGTTAGGGCATCCTGAAAAATTGGCAGAATACCAAAATTAGGGTGTATCTTAACAACAAGAAAGTTTGGTAATAACATGGTAATAGTGGGATAATAGTTTAAGGTAATGAAAAATAGGTTAAAAAAATAATTAATAATATATCATATCCTATATATATATGAAGACATTGGACTGACTTATATGTAACAAAAAACCCCTATGAAGTCAAATTTGTCTTTTATGTTGACCTTTGCTGTTTGTTGTGTGATTTGATTGGTTCATCTGTATCATGCACATATGCTTCTTAGTTTCATACCCTTAAACTTCATCTTAGATTGTGTGAACGATAACAGACATCATACAATACACTGTCCTCTCATGTTTCTAGTCCCTACAAGTGTCTAATTGATTCAGTGAAATACAACATGTTTTATGCATTCCACTGTGTTAAAGCCAATTAGTGGATTATGGGTCGCTTTACTTTTGTTATTGCAAGTGTGCTATTGCAACAGCTAAAGTATTTTTGTAAATCCACAGATATTTTCTGGGGTGACTGTGATTTGGATCGTCATTGTGTATTCATGCTTGTCATTATATGCGTTTGATTTCTTTATTTTTTATTCACATAATGAATTGTGCTTGCTTCTGTGTAATGCCAGAAATGTAGTAACGTACATTACAATTATCACGTGATCTAGTTTTTCTGCAGGAGCACTATTTGTTACTGTTTGTTGCATCAAAGTTCAGCAGCGCCTACTGATCACGAGCAGCGTCAGTTGCATGCATTGGTGTGACTTATGTGTGAAACCAAACACTGGTTTATTTTCTGTGATGAGATCATTATACCAAAATAGATAAAAGAATACAACATTAAGACTAAGCCTTTAGTGGAAGGGGAAGTGATAGAAATGTATTAGAAGCTAATTCAGCAAAGCATTATCGTATGCATGCTATGAATAGTTGTCACTTTTGAAATGAGTAATAAACTCTGGTGACGGCACAGCTCTAGGGATGGCAATGTCAGTCAGTCAGCTGATCGGTCCACCGCTTTGGTCCAGCCTGAGATATCTCAGCAACTATTGGAGGGATTGCCATGAAAGTTAACATTCGTGCCTGGCAAATGGCGAAGCCTACTGACCCATAGACATAGCCGGCAACTAATTGGTTGGCTGCTAAAGGGCCAAATATTTCCTTTAGAAGTGGAGAGATACCACAAACGGAGCTAATGGAGAGTGAATATTGGACTTACACTCACCAGCATGGCGGGAAAGTTTAAAAATGGCAGGTTTAACTTGTCTTCTAAAGCCACTTGATTGTGGCTTTTGATGACAAGTTAAACGTGTGACCAATCACCTGCAAAGTGAATGGCATTCCCATCAGCCTCAGCTGTACTAAACATCCCCATGTTAGCATTGTCATTATGAGCTTATTGATGTAACTACAGCCTCACAGGACAGCTCGCAGCTTAGTCTTGTTACTTTGTGCCAGTGGTTTACTATTATGCTCACATAGCATGTTATGTCCATATATCCATGTATAAAATGTCCATTCAAGCATGTACAGTATATGCACAGGCACTCACCTTCCATGTCTGGTTTTTCTGCGTGGTCTGAACTTCGAAGTCGTAGGCTGTGATGTAGTAGGATACAGGACTGCCTGCACTCCATGATATCCAAGTCTCATTGACAGTGAGATTGACTTTGGGAACACCTGGAGGATGCATTTTGACTGTACGCACACACACACACACACACACACACACACACACACACTCATATGAGGTACGAAAATGTTTTCTTGACTTTTTCAACAATCTCTTAATGAATGAGAAATTGTGTAAAATGTGTTTTATAACCATATTTGTGAATAACATTTCAGGGGCTACAAAGGTAAAACAGTTTACTGAGGAATTAAAAGGCACTCACTGTGATCCCGTGGGTTATAGTCTGTGAGGTTCTCCACCAGCGTACCATTGCACTCCATACTGATGTAGGGCATGGGATTATATGTGTTGAATATCTAGCGGGATCCACAATATAATAAATTAAACAGTGAAGACAGAAATTGTAATGGGTAAAGCAACAAGTCATGGCTTTTACTTTGGAAAAAGACTTTTGATTAGGGTATGATGGTTGATCTTAACATTAAAAAAATCAGTGATTCACAAGGGTAAGATAGAGAAACCAATGTTTTTACACGTGGAATGAATGATATATGTTGGTGACTTACTTTGCCTTTAAAGACAAAACTGCAGCCTGGAGGAGAGTTTCTGTGTTGTTTCAGCTTGCAGGTTTGACTAAGTAAAAAAAAGGACACAAATTATCATTAACTGCTGCAGATATGACCAACTAATGATGATGTTATTGTATTTCACACTTTTCTTTTCCCTTTGTGGAATTTCCCAGAAAAAGGGAGCACATATTTTCCATCCATGATGTTTTGGCAAGCGGTACTGTGTAGAATATCTCTAACATCTTACATCATGTTGCATTGTCTTCTATCCCGATCCCTAACTTTCAACACACCAGAGATCCAACAGTCCACACCAGGAGACACCGAGCCGTTCCACGTGCAGCTCACATTGTTGACATAGTCATTCAAGCAGGAGAGTCCTTGAGAGACAGAGACATAACAGCAGACAGAAAGAGAGAGATTAGGATGGTGTCTGTATTTATCAGTGCTGTCGGACTTCATGCAGGACATTCAGATAGACCAGTGATCTCTGTGCGTACTGGAGTTTAAGTTTCAAACAGTAGTTTTTCAGCTTTAAAATGGTCACGTTTAGTTAATATACTGTCATTCATTCAATCATATAAGTCATGACTTGTAGTGACACTTATGTATGTGTATATATAGCAGATATAGTAGAAAAGAGACGCTTCATATCGGTTCAAGAAAATAAGTATACTAGAAAGACTAAATGAAAAAGCACATGAAAAAGAATAATTAAAAAAAACATTTTATTAAAAAATCATCCTCTTCTATCCCTTGTGCCAAAAGGACATTGACATAAAGACTATATCAGTTATGAACATACTCAATCATACCTTGCGAGCCTTTGTGAAGGTGCATTGAATCTACTGAAAACAGAAGCACCAGGACATGTAAGGACGACAGGATCTTCATTGCTATGACCACAATACGACTGCGAACAGAGAGGATCAGCACACACTGTACATTAGAATCTGAATCAGAAGGGTTAAATACGTTGACAAATTCAGTGGAAAGATACAGCTTGAAAAAAAAAGAAATTTGACAAAGGAAATTGTATACATGTTTATTCCAGAAGAAAACTGCTGGATATGTGTCAAAAACTCAAAGAGGCAGTGATGACCACATAGTAACTGTTATTGACAACAGTTATGCAAATAAGTTTCTACCTGTGGTTTCTTTTTCTTTTTTTTTTAATGGAGAGAAACTCATTTCTGAAACCTGGACGTTGAGAGTGAGAAAACAATACTAGATCCGCACTGAGCAAAATATTCATCCTGAGAAGGCGACAACCAGCAGTTATAAGTGAAACTTGGCACCTGTGCTGGTGCTCTATAGAGAACATATTAACTGTGTGTTACAGTAAGAGCTAATAAAATGTCAAAGTTTAGTTTAATGTGGCGAGGCATAAATTTCTGCAAAAAAAAACAGAAACCCTCAAAAACTGTGAAGAACTGACATGAAAAAGTATTCAGTATATATATCAGGATTCAGATTATGATGACATGATATAAGTATTTTCTATAGAGCACCATATTTTGTCAGAAGTTTGAGTCATCTGGTGATGCACTTTTTTCCGCCAAAGCCTGAAGTGAGTAGGACTAAAATGAATATGTGCCACCATAATCAAAATGCATATTACAACATAATGTACAGGGGAGACAAAACCACTTGTGAATAATAACCACCAGTCAAGAAACCTACATTATATCATACATTAAATGCAGTAAAAAAAAAAGCCAGTGTGACTGTTCAAAATGATGCTACATTCTAATTATAATAGCAGAATTTATATGCACATTATTACTTTATAAATTATTTTTGAACATCATCAGTAAAAATTAGTGATAGATTACCTCATGAGTCTTGGTTGTTAAGGGTAGCAGGGGGTCCCAGAGAGAAAACACATTGTCGTTTCCTTTTACTGGACTGACGAGTTCAGAAGATTTCCTCTCTCTTCTGTCTCTTTCTGTCCCTCTTGCTCTCTACTCGCACATCTCTATCTCGCTCTCTTATGCAATCTCCCTCCCTCCCTTTCTGTCACTCATCCCTCTGTCTCCTTATTCGTGGCCCTCTCTCTTTTTTAAAGTGCCCAGTGACATTTTCCACTCGAAACCACAGCCTGTGTCTGGTGCTTACAGGAAGCCTCATGCTGTGTGTGATAGTGAGAGAGGGGAGGAGGAGGAGGAGGAGGAGGAGGAGGAGGAGGAGGAGTGGGGCTGAGAGGGCTTGTTGTAAGAGCAGAGCACCTCCTCCTGCTCACCAGCAGCAGCAGCTACCTGGACCTCAACACAGCTTTTAAGATAATTGCACTGAAAACAAGAAATACAAAGCACACCACATCCGGTTTCAATCACAACGTAAAGTGGGTTGTATAAAGAGGAACACACACGTTGTCCTATGAAGTGGTTTATGTCAATGAAAGTCAGCTTTAAATGAAGATTCGGAGGATTAAAGAGGCTAAAGCTACCAGATTTAGAACCATGGGGTTATTTAAGATGCAAACACACACACACACACAACAAAAAAGTTGTACAGCGTCAAACCGCCGCTGTTACAGCCGCAACCACTGCAGAGACGTATATTTACTACTCTGCCTCTGTACAGGTGAAAGAGGAAAAGAGGTTGAAAGTTAAAGCAGCAGCGTGTTCTACACTTAAAGGTCACCGGACATTCAATTTCTGTGTCCGTTGCCAGGAGACGGGATTACTAAATACGGGGTTGTATAAAAAATGACCACAGATTGATATTTTATTTAACCCTTTTCTTGCAAGAGCTCCAGTAAAAATGACAAAAAGTTGAATATTTCCATCAAAAGGCCGTCCTGGTGGCTCACCTGTACCTACTGCAGCAGCTCAGGTTGGATTCCAGCCTGTGGTCCTTTACTGCAAGTCATCCCTGGTGGAGAAGAACTTTCATTTGTTATGTTTGCCATCGTTTTTGCAAATGCTAAACCCATCACTAGTGTGTGATTTGGTCTATGGAATAATTGTTGTTAATCCACATATTAAGCTTCAGGCTTAAGAAATGAGGGGGACTCTTAGGACGAACTTACTTTGGCTGCTTTGTGTATCCTGTGTTTGTTTGGACTCTTGGTGGAGAAAGAGCAAAACAGAGAAACATTTGTAAGAGTATATTTTGACCCAATTACACTCAAACCTGTATAATCAAATGCCAAACTGTGAGTGCAGTAAGTGTAAAATACAATAGGTGAGCTCAGTGTGTTCATCTCAGTGTTAAAGTTCAATGAAAGGAAGGCCATTGCGCAACACTCATCCACGCTGTATATAGACCTACAAACCACAAAGCAGTCACGCAAACAACTGTTGCAACACAATATGTTTGAACTCAGCAGTCAGCAGCAGCCTGTTTTGGGTGCCTGAGTGGGTTCAGGCCTGCAGTAGGCCAGAGGGTGATCTGATACCCCCCCCCTTAGTTCCTGCAGTTACTTAGGTGTCAGCATCAGCTAGCAGTGGTAAAGAGAGAGAGAAGGGCAGAGAGGAGGGTTGAAGTGTGCAGAGGAAGAAGAAGAGCATACAGCTCTCACTGAAAGGTCAAAGTCCGCCGCGCCTGAGGGAGGAAGCTACTAAAAAGACCATAGTGTATGTTTGTGCTCGGAAGGCAACCAGAAAACAGTCTCCATCAACAGACCACAGAGACAGGGGAGGAGGGGCTCAGTGGGGAGGAGGTGAGAACAGTAACACGGGAGGGCACACTCATACTGCAAAACCTGTAGCTCTCGAAAAAAAACATAATGCATGTCTTTTGCTGAGGTATCACAATTAAAAAACAGCTGTTAGAGACTTAAGACAACACCTGCTCTTTATACGCCGTTAATTGACTCATCTAATAAAATATGTACAATTCCTGTAAGTAGTGGCCAGAGTTGACTAAGCTCGATATCCTGTGATGCAAAAGGGCTGCACATTAACATACGCTATGATTCACGTACAGTGCCACCTAACACAAGACCTAGTGTGAACATGTGGCTGCACAAATGTGTTTTGATGCAAATGCTAGGCCTTAGCAATGCCAATGCTAACATGCTGATGTTGATCAGTTATAATGTTTACGACGCTGACCTTTTTAGTTTAGCTTTTTAGTTAAGTACAGTTGAGGTTGAGGCACATGATAGTGACCCTATGAAGGTTAATACGTACATTATATGTGTAAACTGTCATACCCACATATTCTTTGCTAAACTGAGGTTGCCAAAGATGTAATTTATTAATTTTTACTTTAAGCAGTGCAGGGTTGATATTTTGAGCTGAGAAATACAATGTAACAGGAAAATTGATTATAATGCGGTTAATTATTCAATTATTCATCAGTACCTCTTTATAGATCATTTGACATGAGAAGTGCTTTAAACTTAAACACCTAACATAAGCTTCATGTGATGAATTTAAACAAGAAGTCAGAACTATCTGTAGATCAGTGCTGCCTGAACACCTCAATTTATTTGGACAGTTTATTGTGCGTTGTTGAATCATTGTAAGTAACTTCAAACAGTCAAACTCCCTGAATGTAGACCGGATCAGGTTACTATAACAGATACTCATTCTATATAAGTCCGACTTGATAGGAGAGGCAGTAGGTAGTGACAAAAAGTAAGTTTCAGTGGTTTCTGCTGAAACCACCTTCATTCTGCTGCCTTTATAGATCACACGCAGAGACAGAAGTTCAGCTGGCTGCTGGTAGCATTCAGCGGTTTAGGTCCTTTAGTTTTAGTCTGAGTGGGGACTTTTGTGTGTTATCACAATGTGTTATAAAGGTTAGACAGCACTCTTTAATATCTCATCTTGAGGTAGAAGGAGAAAAAAAAAAGCATCTCTTTCAGTCAATTAAACACAGTGAGTGAAGGTTACCGATCATTACTAATTTCCTTCGCACATTCGAAAGTGTGTTTATATAGTTGCCAGTCCTTACTACCCAACTGATTACAGTTTGGTTTAGCCCAAACCAAAGAGAGCACAGATATGTTTTATCTGACCAATATCATTTTTAGTGGCATTTCATCTCTACCTTTCATCTTGTTTGTTTATTGTCTAGCAAGCAAGCTTACAACAGGTATGGTTGCAAATCACACTTTATTTTTGCATTTCCAAAGGAACCCGAGGTGTGAATGAAGAGGGCGTAATGTGTGTTGTGGTCTCGCAGGACCTCATTTTGTGGTGCCATTTCTTTCCATTTGCTTCAGCATCTTGTTGAGTTTCTGGTTCATGATATTTCTCTCTGTCCACTGGACTGCAAAAGAGGTAAAGAAACAAAAAGGCATGATTCTATCAAAAATACATCAGACCAGAACAATGAAAGAGAAACAGAGAGAGAGAGAGAGAGAGAGAGACAGGAGGAAAGCAGAGTACCTACCCATTTCATCAGTCTTATGGCCGTACCAGAGATGGGGGTCGGCAGGCCAAGCAGTCAGAGGGGGGCTGATGTAGGAGTCCCTGGTGTGGGATTTCCCTGTGAAAGAAGGACCTACAAACAGTGTGTTGAATTAAAGGTGTGAAAAATGAAACATGCTCAATATGCCATTCCTAACATACTGATGTTCAGCAAGTATAATGTTTACCACATTCACCATCATCATCAGCACTTGACCTTTTAACATTTTGATGACAAGGTAACCATTAGAGTTTGTACGACCGCCCAGTCAAAGCAAGTGTGGCTCATATCCCAAATGTGAGTGAGTGCTCTGGTTAGTTACATAACAATCCATCAAACGTCATGAGGAAGTGTTACTTCTTCTTTCTAAATGTACATTTTCTTAATTTAAGTGCCAGCCAAACACCGTACTACACCTGGCATACAAGCATAGAGTGAATGAGTGAGAGTAAGTTAGGGTTGTCACACAGCCGCAGTGTGTAGCAGTGCACATGGCAACATTCACAGTTGAATTATTCAACAGGATAAGACAGATTGTGTTTCAACTACTCAAGAGTCCCATTGATTTACTATCATTGTTTTCCATGTGGCCACTGTCTGTAAAATAATGTTACTGTCATGTCTAACAATGCATTACTGTCAGCAGTGTATTGAATATTAATCAATATGTCACAGAAGCAGTACTCTGGACACATCTTCTCAGCTGAAGACCAACCACACCCATAGACATGGTAATCCTAATTCTTCCGGAGCCATCAGCCGCCTGATATTGGAATACCTCGTGGACCAAAGCTCACTGTGAACCAATTAACTGCCAGTCATTTAAAAACAAATTTGCAAAGCTGCATGACCTGATCCTGAGTCTTTTGTTCAGCAGTTGGTCTTACAGCAAAGCCGCTACAGATCCACTGGGAATTAGAGTGTAAGCAGAGACTGGATGCTGATGTACAGACCTGGAAATATGTTTCTGCGGAGACAGTGACCCAGGCTGTGGTAGCTGTGGGGGTATGAAAAGGCCGATCCGGGATCAACATAGTGAGGCAGCGACAGGGACAGCACCTGAGGGATTTCTACTGCCTAAAGCACAACATGTTCAGAGGAAATCGTCACAACACACAACAACAGCAACAACACATTGTTAACACGCAGCAGCAGAAAAAAAAGAGAGAAAAAAAAGAGAAAAAACAACGTAGATTTCTCACCTGCCTCTTTGCTGGTTCTGTGTCTTTTTGGCCATTTGTGGTCATACTGAGATAATAAGCGGCAACACAGGTATGTCAAAACAAAAGGTGTTAAATTTCTCAAGAATGTCATGCAAGACACCCGAGAACATTACATCAGGGTTCACCTGTGGTCAAGAAGAAAGAAAAAAAATACTGACATTTTAAAATAAATGATAAGATTACACCTCGGTGTGCAAAACACTTTGAAGTGCACAGAGGCACAATTATTGTGAAGTTATTTGCTATTCAGTGCTGTACGCTTATTGCTTTAAAGTCTACTAGTTCATTCCTAAGAAGGACAAAACACCAGATAGATAGACAGATAGATAGATAGACAGATAGATAGATAGCTAAATAGATAGATAGATAGATAGATAGATAGATAGATAGATAGATAGATAGATAGATAGATAGATAGAAGCACATTTACGGCTGTTTGTAAAAGTTTCTGTGTGGTACTTGTGCTGTAACATTAGCTATGCCAGCAGCTCAGCGCTAACTGAGCTAACTGAGCTAGCAGCCGCTGTGAGACTCTTTGCGTCCGTGCTGGACACTCGTCTGTTAAGGTTTCTGTGAGGGGCTTGTGTTGTAACATCTGCGGTACAGTGTCATAACTTATTCACACTAATTACAGGAACACTGCGTGTACGTGGTGGAACTTCATGCTTATTACCGCTATTTCAGCGGCCATAATAACAGATACAGCAGTCACGCCTCAGCCACGGCTGCAGCGACACTTCACTAGAGAGACGAGGTCTCACCTATTTCCAGCAAAAATAGACAGTGAAAATCTTACGTTCATAGTCATATCGTCATTAACCCGGCAACATGTACACCTTTAAGTACAGTTTCAATGTCTATATCTGTAGAATGTGTCGCAGACATGTAACACCTCCTGTATGTTTCAGATTAAAAGCTCTCTGGTGTTTCTGTGGACAAGGTCCACTCGTGTTAACTAGGCTTTTACTGTGGGGAATTTATCCAAGGCAGGCTCCGTATAGAAAGATAGGGCTGGTAGCAGCGCCGCAACCGGCACACGCTGCTCAGGTAGGCAGTGTGAGCCGAGGGTCAGGCTGCAGTCTGCAGAGTCCAGGCCAGTAGCACAATTAAATTGCAGTAGTCGGCTTTCAGCCAGTAGAGGATGGTTGCTATGCATTTTTATACCAAAAGATGTAAAATTAAAATACTTTGCACTAAAATGTCAAGATTGGGACTATTGGAATAAACACCAGTAAATACCCATGTACAGAGGTTTTTAGCAGAAAAAGTGGTGTGGGGGTTTACTTAATCTTTAATGACAGATATGGGATGTCAGTTTATACAATTTATAGATTGTAAAAAATAAGTTAAAAAAAGTTCTGTACTGAATAAAAATAAATACTAAATATATGTTATGACAATATTCAAACATATTCCATGCATAAAGACAATCACAGCACCAGTTTTAATTTTATTGCCACCAATCATTAGGTTTTCTTAAAGTAACAACAAGGACTGTTTATTTTCTGTTGCTTCTGGCACACTGTGGACGTAAGCGGTGGTCGTTGATTTCTTAGGAAACCCAACCCAGTGGTAGGCATTAAGAGGAACTAGACAGGAAAAGCATTTAGTTTGTTTCATAATCAGTTAAATACTCCTTGTAGTTGGTTTAAAGCTCCTATATAACCAATATTTAATAATAGTAGTCAATCTACAATCTACAGCTATAGTTATAGTGACTTTCAGCTCGTTGTTAAAATGTCTGGTCTGTAAATGTTTTAAGAGAAAACACTGAAATACAGCATTTAAATCAAAGGTCACCATATTCCACTGTCAAATCAGACCTCTAGTTTCATTAGAAAGGGAGGAAGGGAGACTTTATTGGAGTACCTCTTATACCTAATTTTACAGTGGGAAAACTACAGAGCTCAGATCTCTGCAGCATAATTCAACACATTAAAATCTCAGTTATATTTAAAAGAAATTCACAGGAACACCTTTTTTTTGTACTTTTATTTAACTTTATTTCACAATTTTATGCCATTTATTGTGTTCTTTGTTATAATACCACACACAAATGTCAACTGGCTAAAACAATATAAAACATAACTTCCACAATTTCATTATTTATATTATGTACATGCACTCATATATTCAGAGGCAAAAAAATCTCAGGCCTTTGCTTACTCTCAAGTGCACTTTCATCTGTCTTCCTTGCTGGTTGAGAGGCCATTCCAATGAGGATCCTTCAGCTTCTGTTTGCCAGATCAACTTGAAGATTTAACAGCTTTTGGATTTATTCAGGTGTGTGTTCATTTTGTAAGCATTATGGGAAAAAAATAACTCCAAGTGATGCTATTTCTAATTGCTTGAAAGCCAAAAACGAACACACAGCAACCGCTTTTGTTTACTTTTACCATGAAACTCGTACTATAGCATTTCTTTTTGGGAAGCAGATGACGTGCTGGTGTCGAATGTGCATGAAGTTCATAAACCGTCACTGAAAAAATACTTTCGCTCCCAGTTGGATTCACAAAAAGAATCTTAACACTAAGCTTATCTCAGCTCCACTGCAATAAAGGATGATTTTAAACTCATTGGTGGAAGCAAAACCCTGACCTGTGTGCCCCATTTTCCACCCGTCACGCATCCCTTCTTTGAGGTGGACCGAGCGCCACTTCCTACATACGTAACTGCCACGGTTTAGCTTACAACCAAAGTATAAGTGCCAGGATTGTCTTTTACCTGAATTTGACGTGTTGATGGTGTTCTTTTGATGCTTTTCTGGAAACTCAGATGTGACGGATGCGTAATAGGAACGAAACAAGGGAATCAAGAGCACAATGGGTGGATTAACTTCCATTGTGCGTTTGACTGCTTTGTCGCCAGTTCATTCCCATACTCATGAAACACTATCTACAATACTTGTGGGGTTTGATGGTTTGATAAAAACTGGAAGGTTTAGAATAAGCGAAATCTCCTCCTCTGCCACAACAGACTAAACATTACACAGAGAGTGGTTTGGACATGAGATCTTATTTCTACAGCTCTGCCGATACATTAGCATGACTTACAGTATTAATGAAGGCATGAGTGAGCATAGCAGCACTCATGACAAAACTGGAGATATGGATTATACAAGAGTTACAAATAGCAAAGGTCCGTGTTGACAGCAGAGTCCTAGGATCATCAGCTATGCATTAAAAATGCATAAATATTTCTTGAAGAGGTAACATTATGATCGTATTGAACTTTTGTTGTTTGAAGAAAGAAAGAAAAAGAAAAACAGGCTCACTTGCCACCTGTGTAGTAGTATAATAATACTCAAAACTGGATTCTTATTGGAGTGGTCCTTCAGGCGCTGCCTGCCTCCTGTTTGTATCCTCCATCAGTTCAGGCTGCTCAGGCGGGACAGAGGACGGCTCTCCTCTCTATGTGGGGGCAAACTTCTTGGCCTGTGCCCTTACCCGCTTCTCATAGTCCATCCTGTTCTGACTGAAACATAAAAACACAAAGAGGCAAAGACATTGTTAACCATGCTGATGCTAGTTACATGTTTATTTAGAGCTTCCATTTGCAACACATCGGTGTATAAAGTGCTGAAACAACAGGAGACGTTTCTTTCTTCTTCTGTGTTACAACAGGCACTGTCCTGAGAGTGTCTGAACTTCAAATAGAATCACAACAACAGGTTCAAGAAATGTCAAACAAGCTAAAGTTTTAGAAAGGCAAACGCACTTACCAGTAAATTGTGTAAGCCTCTGCTTGTGCTGGGTCTTGAATGTTGGGCTCATTCAGCAGCTCCTGGATACCCAACAGGATCTGAAAAACACCACCAATCAGTCTGCAGTCAGTGTGATAATCTACTGGTTCATTTAAAACAATGTGCATTCATTTCCTCACTGCAGTTACAACACAACACAAAGATGTTATATTCATAAGTTATACGCTAAACAAGTTAACAAGTAAAACAACCACCTCCCCCTGTTGAGTATTAGACAGAGACTGTGGATAAGCGAGTGTTCAGACCTGTTTGATGGTGATGGCAGGCCTCCAGTCTTTGTCCTCCTCCAGGATCGACAGACACACGGTGCCGGATGGGTAGACATTTGGGTGGAATATTGGTGGCTCAAACTTGCCTGAGTGGAAATCAGTGAAAAGAAAGTCAGAACTTTAAAGCTTGAAGAAAGCCTGACGTGGAAAAATGAAAGATTTCAATTACATTGTTCAATTTAGTCATTGTAGAAAACTGTCATTACCTTACGTTTTTCATTCAATATCTCTAAAACACAAGAGGATTTGTGAAAGTGCTGTCATTCTTTCCATGACAGACAATTTACCTCACATGTATCTGCCAACATCCTGATTAAAGAAACGTCTCTTCAACAACTGATCTGAATATCACAACACTTTAGTAACGGGGACATTGATGTCCTACGGAGGCTAAGCTCAATAAGATTTTATTAAAGAATGGAAAAGTAGCACTGCACCATCACACTCTACTGTACCATCAATTAACTAACCAGAATCATTATGCAATTTGAGCATGCAACATACAATATGTGTTTTTGAAATTGAAAGCATTATCACACCAACATTTACACAAGTGTAGCTCAATGTGTGGCTTAGAAAATAGTTTTTAAAAAATTGTTTTCCGCATTCACAGAATCCAAAAGCAGTGGGTCAAAGAATTAGGTTTTTGCATGGACCAACACAAAAATGCATATTTATATATTTTTTGTCATCTTTCACTCTGGGTTCATCGTTTACTCAAGGTGGTACTGACTGAACCCTGGTGTACAGACTTTGTTATTTCCTGAGCTTTGAATTTGAATTTCTGCCCTTCAACAGAGAATGAAACTATGGGGAGAGGTACTCACATTTGGGTGGTGAGGAAGGGTAGTCATCTTTGAACAGCATTCTGAGTTTGTAGAGTCCTCCCTCCCACAAAGTCTTATGAAAGAATAAGCAAATAACACGGTTAAATTCAACACTTCAAGAATCAAACTTTAAGACATTTGAAAAGGCATAAAATTCTGATTATGGCATTTCAACTTTTTAAGACCTTGCAGACACCCTAAATAACTGCTTTAGTAATTTCAATGAGGACATAATTTAATTTTTATAATAATTTAAAAAGAACTAAAAAAAGTAAACATACATAGAAACATTGGCTTAATGAAATCTGGAGCCAGAGTAGAAAGAAACACAGACATTATGTAACAAATTTTACACTGAAAGTAAAATTAGACAACAATGTGGATTTTTGTCTCTATATGATGAACAAAGTTATTGTTGCTGCATGTTTTGCTTAAATAACAAGTAAACACTTGTAATACACTCAAACTATGAACTTCAGATACTGCTCCTTTCATTTCCAAAAGTTTTTTTTTTCCAGCATTAATTAGGCCAAAAGATAAAAGCATTAAAAATGTCTTGCTTGTGTCATTTGAGTGTCGTATTTGTTGTGTTTGGCTGGATCTAAACAGGAAGTAAACAATAAGCCGGCTTCATCACTTGCAGTAATTACTCATATAACATTAGTCATTACAAATTCATGACACAGATATTGAAGAATTAAATGTAATGTGTTGTTTAATGTTTGTTCAACATGCAGAATTACCTACACAACAATAAAAAAACAATCTTGTGACAACTTGCAATTACATGCATGTCGGTATATATTTTCATTTATTGTCTATTAAGTTCATTCACTATATGGGAGTGCTACTCCAATTACTACTGTACTGCATTTATTGTTTGTATGTTTATTTTACTTTGGAATACTGAGCACGACTGTTATTGTTATTATTTGTAAAATAATTTGAATAATAATAACAACTTGTAATTACAGTAATACTGAATGCAAGTGTCCAAGCAGTGGTTAAAAGGGTTTGAGTGGTAAAGTTGGTGAGACTTGCAAACAGATTCAAGATTATATAAAAATATACAGCTATTGAACGGGCCTAGTGCTGGTCATACAGAAGATGTGTGAAAGCATCACTTTGATATGTACGTTAACTTATAGCCGACTCTGTGCCAGAAGGAAACTTACTCCTTTCTTCCCTGGGATGGCACACTCCCAGTTCATCAGATTCATGGTTCCATCAGGATTCTTCGTAGGCACAGCAACAAAACCCTGTGTGGTCGACAACAGACACAAAACATCAGTGGACAACCTGACCTGTTCCTGAACTGTAATCTACTACTCATAAATACTGGGGGGACTCACTGTAACAAACATGGGGCAAACAAAGTTGATCCTGAATTAAGGGTGACTTACAAATGGGTGGTCTTTTCTCCAGGCTTTGCGCTCCTGGGACAGTCTGCTAAGAGCGATGCCAGACATTGCTGCTCATCAACGCCTCCCTGTGGAAAAACAACCCAAAACTAATTAATTATTCAATTCCAGCTGTCCCAGACTAGTAACACAGCCCCAAATGTTTCCTCTGGAAACTGAATTGTGGATGTTGGGCATGTACCAGATACCACCGACATTGATTTACGTTATTTGTTGTGCGACCGGTAGAAACTACAAAGGTAACTTAGCTACTGCAACAGCCGTAAAAGGTAAAACAACCGCTGTACCACACTAACAGACGACAGACGGCAACCTCTCGACTGGACTTACCTCTGAGTTTGTTTGGCTAACTATCGGAATTACGTTGGTTTCAGGGCTAACGTTAGCTTGGTTGCTTCGCTAACGCTAACGTTGCTGCTGTGTTGACGGCGAGCGAAAAGAAAAACACACCCTTCGACGTTGGACACCAAACCTACGGGAACAGTTAGGGCGCAAATGTACAAAGCGAAAGAAACTGTGATTTTATAAACATTCCCCAAACACTCTATTCGGCATATATTGGTGTTATTTTTTGATAATTTACCACACTTGTGTAAAACAATGTGACTCGTATGACGGCTTCAACAGCTAGCTTATTGCGAGAAAGGACCCCAATTTGTTTATTTCGGTAGGACCTTCAGGCAGTTTACGGGACAACCGAGTGACACACGTCACTGGTGGTCGGCCATCTTTGTTGTGGCGTTCTCAATGGGCAGTTCACGACTTCGGAGGATTCGATCATTTTGAGTCATGTTTCCCTGAAATGAATCAGCCAGGGTGCGAACTAATAACGTCTTAATAAGACATGAGCTCAGCTGAAAACATGATTTGTTGAATTTTATAGGTTCTCTTAAATATTGCCCGATGCATTTAAGAACCTCTCAACTTTGGGAAGCAGATGTGATTGTCAGCATCCATGTTAGCGATAAAATGCCTGATTTTTAAATGGAGTTTGGTCTGCAGAGGTAGAACGTTTTTTAGATTTAAAACAGTAACACTGATGTAGTGGACTCAGAGGAGCTCTCAACTTTAGGAAGAGTTGTGGATTGTTCTGTTTTGTAGTCAGCCAATTGTGAGTCCATCAATCAAGTACCCCCCCCGTAAGAAAAAGTGAGCTGCCCTGAAAGCTGTTGTATATTTTGCACACTGGAATCACCTTTCACTTCCCTGGTATTTGTAATATTGGGATTGCATACACGCATGTGCATTATTATTAAATGTTATTTCAAGGTCCAGTGTGTAGCATTAAGGAGGCTCTTTTGGCAGAAATGGAATATAATGTTCGTAGGTATGTTTTCATTAGTGAATACTTTAGGTGGAAAAAATAGTAGCATTTTTGTTATAGTAGAAGGAGACATCGTAGTTCCTCCTATACACTTCACAGCCTGTTTTTATTCTCAGGCTGTCAAATACCAACATGAGCGGCGTTCAGTTACAATCTGCAACTTCACTTCTTCATATCCTTCATGCTGGTCTTTTAAGTAGATGGGACTTCATACAAATAGCCTATCGTTACATTTTAAAGTTATGATCAGTGTGTAAATCCTGAAAAATATTGTCTTACCTTTATCAGCTTTTAATGATAATACTTATATACTACAGCATGTCGTAAGGGCTACAATGGTGTGACCTGGAATTTTGTGTAATAGGCTTCAGAAAAATACAATGTAAAATACATAATCTGCCCAAATAAACACCTTGCCAGCACATGTTGTATAAAATCAGTAGCACCTCCACCATTCAGTACTTTTGCATTGCTACGATAGTTTATACTATCACATTATGCGTGTGGAGATGACTTGTGCATCAGTGGGTGAGTGTCTGAAGCTAAATAGATGTTAACAAAGCTGCTGTCAGTCACAGAATGGGAGTTTTGATGTATTTTAAGCAATATGCAGGTAAAGTAAGCAAAGTCCACAGCTCGAAAAGAATTGTTCAAAATGAGCTGTTCGTTCTCTTTTGCCCACTGATAATGCTCTTTTGTTCTGGTCTGCACAGTTTGCTTTATTTATTTATTTTTTTACCTCAGTGGAACATAGCAACAGCTGACAGCATAAACAGTGGTTAATATAACTTAATACTCGTTATGTTTAACAGTTCAAAGATGAACAATGCCAAATTGCTGGTAACAAAAGACGACTCTGCAGGTTGGAATAAGTGCACAGCTTCCACTGCAATCTTCTCAGCCACTTTAAAAATGGGACACTTGCTCAGCAATTTATAAATTATTTTTGTACGCATCTTAAGCCCCATATGAGTTAAATGTTGTACATTGTAAAACCAACATGGCAACTAAACAGAAGCTAAAATACATAAACTTTGTTTTGAAAATCGGGCATCTTGCCAGACACCTCAAATCAAGCACTGGAACCGGACTGAACTGGTTTTGATTTCCTCTGCGTCAGCATCCCAAATTTTTTTATGTGTTGTATTGCGTCTCGGCAAAAGCTGCAGTCTTTTTGTGGAACTATTATCTGCTTCACTTTTTCACACTACATTATATTTTCTTATTCAACATGTAACTTTGCAACAAATAAAAATTGTATAAAGTAAAAATACAATTGCAAACATTTAGACTCCCATTGAAATCAGCATAAGACTGGAAGAAAAACACAAAAAAAATATTAAAATTGGTCGATCAATATTTCTACTGTCTATAGTATTTTGCCCCTCTGTCTTCCACGGCCCAGACTAAATATTTACTTTTCTGTTTACTGAATAAATGAGTTTTCCTCAAATTCATGAGCGTGACATATTTTAAAGGGGGAAGAAAAGATGTGACACCCTACCTGTATGTAACATAAGAAAACAAGAACCTCAAGCAGCCATTTATTGTAACATTTGTAAAAGAATTCAATATATCCATCTGACCTCCTCCTATCAAAAAGTGCAGTTCTTCCAAGAATCAAACGTTCACTGGCCTAATAATGCTGAACCTTTTAACATTGCAAACATGTTGAGATAAACTAGACAGAAACATGTTACATCATGGTAGTATAAACGTGTCTAAAAGAATGGAAAGTTAAATAGGTTGCATAGTGTAGAAGAGATGTTCATTGAATGTTTGTGAGGAAACTTGCAACTGTTGAGTTAGTAATTAGGTTTCACAACAAGCTTGCTGTGCAACCCGCTCACAGCTTGTACTATCTCCTTAGTATTAGCAGAAAGTACATTATAAGGCTAGTTACTCTTGATCTATCACCCTTGCTGACAGCAAACACACTGCTTTCCCTTGTAAAAATATCATCACATCCTTGGTTGTGCAAGTCCACTGCCTTTCCGCTTCCATTCACAGCTTCTTTCCTTCTCCCTCTGAGAGGATGTGATCAGGAGAAGCCCTTTTGAACCATTCAGACCAGGAGCCATCATAAACACACACCCCGGGGTGTCCCAGCAGGTGAGCCGCCAGAACAACATGACACGCTGTGACACCAGAACCACAGGAAGCCCAGAGTGGTTGCTCCAGGTCCACCCCTGCCTCCCTGAACAGTCTGGACAGGCCCTCGGTTCCCAGCTCCTTCCCAGAGGCATCCATGAAAGAAGTGAATGGCATGTTGACGGCACCGGGGAAATGGCCCGGCAGTGTGTCTGTGAGGGTGAGACAGAGGGGTGAGACACATTTTGGGCGATGAAGACTTTGTGGTTAGACAAAAAAAAGAAGAAGAGAAACACTCAAAGTTAAATTACTAGATTTCTTCTAGTGCTTTCAGACATATCTAATGCCCTTCATCAGCAGATGGTTTGATGAAGATGAAGATCATTAGATGTGGCTGAAAGCCCCAGAGGAAATCTAGTATGTTTTTGAGCCAAACTACTGGCTACAAGCTTGACATTGAGCTTGATGTAACTGCAAAACAGCAATTTATACATTTATAAATATATAATAGGCTATATAAATAAATAATAAGTCACACTTCATTATTTTACACAATCAACCTGTCAGTAATATTGACTATCACAAGATTATATATGCATCACATACATATGAAAGCAACCATGCATAATAATAATTGATTGATCAAACATTTAATTATCAAAGATGCAGTGTATTAGGCTATTTTCATGCATGCGCTCCCTAATCTCTCCTCTTTATTATAGAAAAGGGCAAAATTCTGACCTCTGTTAACTGAAAACAGGCTATTATTATTACTTATTGTTTTGTTTTCAAACTAGTAACCCTGCTCACCCTCTCTGGGCTCCGGCTCAGTCCCCCTGAACCTCCCAGCGGACCTTGCGTCCACCGTCTGGACCTGCTTGGTTTTGATATTCTCCAGCACGTCCTCGTAGCTCTTCACCCACGACTGATTCAGGGTCGCCTTGAACTCTCTACGCTCCGGCTTGGAGTACTCAGACGCCACCGGGTAGCCGTCAGCCAGCCAGTTCCTCATCCCGCCGTCCAGCACCGACACCAAACTGTGTCCGAACAGCCGGAACATCCACCACACCCGGGGCGCGCTGAACGACCCGAAGTCGCTGGTGTCGTACACGACTACGTGCGTGTCGTTGCCGATGCCCAGACCCCCAACATACTGCGAGAAGTGGCTGGAAGTTGGCAGCATGTGATCTAAAGGAGAGGTCTTGTCACAGCACTCGTCTATGTCAAAGAACGAGGAGCCCGGTATGTGCTTCTGCGCAAACTCCGCTCTCGGGTCCCGTTTCGTTTTGGGTAGGTACCACGAAGTGTCCAGAACCCGAAGCTTTGGCCCGACCAGGTTGTTCCTGACTGCATCTGCTAGCCACTGACTTGACACCAGAGCCCGGGTCTGTGCCGCCATGATGAGGCTCTGTGATATAATACAAGCTCCGAGCGCTAGAGGGAAATGTTTGTGCTCTTTAAAAGGAGAACATGGGAAGTTAAACATTTGGCAAATGTACGGCCGCGGTGAACTTTGGATGGTCAAGATGTACAAACAACAAAGCAGGATGCACACGTTCTTGTACCAACGTTTAATAAGAATTCATTGTGAACATAAGAAAATAGACTTTTGGAATTATATTTAAATCACATATAAAAAAATAAATGGATCAGCTTTATTATCTAAAGTAAAAGTGAAGTGTAGGGTATGGCACACACACACACACACACACACACACACACACGTATAAGTGCTGCATTTGTAAAACTGGACTTATAAGTCCTCCAAGGCACATCTTTATAAACTGCACATCTGCTAAAGCACCAGCAGGTTGTGCCATATTTCTTCAAAGGCTCATAAAGAGCAGGCACTAGAGTAGGAAAATGCTTTTCAGACACATTTAGTTGGATTATAACGGTTAAGGGGTTGGAAAACTGCTCAAAATACACAGGTTTTATAGAATGGTATTGAAATAATGGGAAGATAAAGCTTGTAAAAGAGGCCCAAAGATAAACAACATGAATATGAAACTACCATTTTTAGCACCATCTTCATAAGGTCCTACATACTGATGATACTGAGTTTTGTCAGCAATTAAGTGAAATTAATTCAGGGCAACCGTTGTTTCTTTTAACATGTTTCAACATACAAGAAAATTATTTAAATTCAACAAAAATAAAGTACAGTGTAACGCTCAGACCTGCGTCCATACTGCCAACAAACAGTCCATTGTCTAGAGGCTGGGTTCGCATTCAAATAAAGCTTATGTGTTAAATCCACACGCAAATCCTCTGACAAGCTTCAGCAGACATTTCCATTCACACAGCAGATCTTAGGTTTATATCTCTGCTCATTTCAGATATGATAAATCAATGACCTGGTGAATCAACCAGTCACATAAAGTGATTGTTTAATGCTGAGTTGTAAATTTAACTTTGCCATTCAAAAGTCGTCTGCCTCAGATCTTGCTTTCTACCTCGGAGACGACGTGCTCTGGCGGGGCCTTGGTGAACCACTCATACCAGGATCCGTCGTACACAGACGCATCAGGGGCGCCGCACAGATGTGCAGCCAGCACCAGGTGACATGCGGTCACACCGGACCCACAGGATCCACAGATTGGCTTATTCAGGTCCACTTGTGACTTCTGAAAGAACTTCTTCAGCTGCTCAGGAGAGAGCATCATGCCATCGTCATCGACAAACCCGAAGAAAGGCATGCATTTGGAGCCAGGGATGTGACCTGGTTTGACACCTGTGGGACGATGACACAGTAGTTAACCTTTTTGCACACACCTGTAGCACAGTTAAAGTATATGGAAATGTAAAAAGTCCCATTTTCTTTAAAAAAAAAAAAAAATACTAAGAATACATTTGTATATGAAACTTTTTGTTGTTGTTGTTGTTGTTGTGTCCCCTGTGGATAAACATAGTGTTTCTACCACCTTGTGTCTTTGATTGCACTGATGGTCTGGTGTGCTTTTAGATCATACAAAGGCATTTGTATTAAACTGAGACTATTTCAAAACCAGTTAAAAACTCCTTGTAGTAGGGTTGCATTTGTCTGTTGCTTACTTATAAATGATTTTTTTCAGGGGCTTTAAATTAAGTTTAAATGAAGTTAAGTTGATCATCACAATAATGCCAGTGACGGTGATCTACAGTGACGTTTGAATAAACTGGTACCTTACTTTGAACTTATTAAATACTAACAAATCACTCCTACTCACACTTTTTGAGGGTAAATATTAAATGTAAAACTAGACCTACCCTCTCTTGGTTCGGGCTCTTTCCCGCGGAACCTTGCATAGGGCCTCACATCCACCACCTGGAACTCCTGGCTTGCAATATTATTTGTGATGTCCGCGAATGACCTCACCCAGGAGCGGTGTTTTACAGTGGCGGTGAAGCGGGCCGGTTCAGGCCTGGTGTACTTCCCTGTGACTGGATGACCCTCTCTGACCCAGTTCCTAAAACCCCCGTTCAGCACAGACACCTGTGGGTGGCCAAAAAACCGGAACATCCACCAAACCCTGGTGCAGGTAAATGCCCCAAAATCACTGGCGTCGTAAACAACGACGTGGCTGTCATTTCCAATTCCCAAATTCCCAACGTAATCGGCGAAAAACTTCTCGGTCGGGAGCATATGATCGAACTTGGATGACCTGTCCGAGCACTCGTCGATGTCGAAAAACGAGGCCCCTGGGATGTGAAACTGTGCAAATTCCTTCTTGCCGTCTCGACTCATCATCGGTAGGTACCAGGACGTGTCCAGGACCCGCAAACGCGGTCCCACAAGATTGCGTTTGACCATGTTTGCAAGCCATTTTGCAGAGACAAGAGGTTGAGTTTGCACTCCCATGTTTACACCAGGGTGAAGTGCAGCTATCCTCATTTAACCTCTGCTTTCTCCAGCCTGTTTGATGTCTGCGGGGTAAACAACTAATTGGTGCATTACCTCCACCAACTGGACTGGAGTGGATCAAATAAAAGTAATACAACAATCACAAGAAAGAAAAATAGAAACATTTTTCATAGTTTTAACCGATGTATTAAGTTATTAGATTTCATTGTTCATTGTCATTCTTTTTTTAGTATTTTTCTGGGCTTTTTATTGCCTTTATTGATAGTGACAGCTGAAGACAAGCAGGAAAGGGAGGCAGAGATTCGAACCCTGGGCCGCTGCAGCAAGGACTCAGCCTCGGTGCATGGGTCGCCAGCTACCGGGCGCCCTCATTGTTATTCTTAATATCACTGTTAATATTTCCCAAAATTCATGTCCTCATTAATGGAACAATAAAAACGACAGAATCATAACGTGACAGGTTTTTAAGGTTGGGCTTCACAAGGAGATCTTTACCTCTGAAACCTCTCACATGATATAGGACTAGGCAGTAAATATAAAATATTATTTTCATAACATCATCCAAGCCATTTAATTGTATTGTTACGGTCACCTTGGGAAGGGAATGCTTACATTTATGAAGTGACATGCTATCTTAGCTACACCCAGTACTAGCATGATGTCTTGCACAAGCATGTCACTTCTTCTCTCTTAGCGTATGAATCAGTATCATCACAGAGACTAACTATCCTTTTTATATTGTACTTGGCAGGGGTTCTGAATCTGAGTGACTAAAGAGGAGAGTAACTGTAGAATAGCTGTAATTTAGATTACCAAAACTACAAGTAGTTAAGGAGTGCAACATCAGAACATCAGAGGTCTTAATAATGGGAATTACAGAGGCACCACAGTTACATGAAGAGGCTTTTAAAACTTTTTAAAGTTAAAGCTTTCTAGAGACATCTTGTAAAACTGACTCCATATAGTAATGACAATGATTTGATTAAGCAATTGATTTTATTGACAATTTCATAAGAGTACCACCCACATAGCGAACAAACACAGTATATCAATTAAGGGGGATCAATATTTAATCAGTATTTTAATAATATTTAATTGCTTGCCCAAAAAGTAATATTTTCAAAAGGAGGATCTGTAAATTTATCAAAGCATACAAACATAATTTGTCACTTGTAAAGCTATGGTCAGTTTGCTACTGATTGGTATTTAAACAAGAACAACAAAAACAGCAATGATACATTTTACATGATACAGACTCACATAAAAATGCTTATATTTGACATAGGATGATCAGGAAAAAGAAAAACTATATTCTATTATTCACCTTTAATCTTTTCTATCAGACTTAATTTTGTGGTATTTTTTGTGATTATATCTCTCATTTGTTCTGCTATTTAATTAAATATCATGTTGCATTTCTGTAACTGAAAACCTGTGGAGAACTTATGATCAGGGCATGTACTTCATTCCTTTCATCCTAGGAATGATATGTATATCTCTGATGTCATGGTGCTGAAGCAGCCAACACAAGTAGCGCTCCGTCCCCATGCCCCATCCACTGGTAAGGAGTGGTTTCACTTGCCGCATGTTAATGTACCATTTGTAGGACTGCTCTGGCACTGCATGGTGCCTCAGGGCCTCCTGTACCATCTCTGGGGTGGAATGACGTTCACCAAGACCCAGAGTCTCACCCAGGCCCAGAAGAAGGTCAGCAGCTTTGGCTTTGCACCGCCCAGTGCCCTCCACATATGCCTGGTAGAAGGGAACTCCTAGATGATCCATCTCAGTCAGCCAGACAGCACCACCATATTTCTCTATCAAGACCCGCTCTCCCTTGCGTGTTAGCTTTCTGCCAAACTTGGGCTGGCCATCTTGGACCCACTCTGAGCAGTCAGCAGAGGGCATCATGGGAATGGCCTTGTCTAGAGGGACTCTTGGTAGTGGGGTCTTCCCATCCAGCTTACTCAGCATGGCTGTGACATGTGTAAGGGTCCCTGCAGTGTTGAGGATCAGATCAGAGTGTTTCTTCAACATGGACTTGGTAAGATGAGCCAAGTATCCCTCTGCTATGGACATGGCTTTGTCCATGTCACCCAACAGTTCACACTCCACATGGTAGAACTGGTTCAAGTGTGTGGCATCAGGATCTTCCCCTCTAAAGCTGGGAGAGATGTAGTACGTCCCTGGCAGGTTCTCTTGGAAGCGAAGGAAGTATTCAAGTACAAATTGCATTGAATCAGCCAGGTAGATGTCTTGGCCCAGCAGATTAACAGAAACTGGTTCTGAGTCAGATCCTAAGCCCATTGGTGAGGAGATGGTGTCTGTGGTGAGAGGGGTCAGAGCGTAGGAGTACTGGCAGGAAGTATGGAAATATTCCACTGTACTGTGGAAAAGAGTGTTTTGAATCTGGAACAGGTTGCGATACCACTGGCTCTTGATGGCAAGTGTGGAGTGAGACTGTGGGTCTTCCCATGAACGAGGAGGCCTGCACTGGGTAATTTTTGTATGGATCGTTTTGAGGGCCTCAGGGTCAGCAGCTGGGCCATCCAGTGATGACACATATCCAGGATAGCTTTGGAAGCATTCTGGTTGCAGCTCAGCA